AACTTATGCTTACACACTGTTGTATTTGTAATTTTCTCATTAAACTTAAATCAGCAAGCAGCTGAGTGCTATTATTAATTAATAATAATGTGGGCTCAGCTGTTGTTATATATGAGTTAGTTTCATTTAAATTCTCTGTAGATGTACTACTCATTGCGCGCACTAGTTATCCTGACAGCTCAGACCGATACACGAGATTATAAATTCCATAAACATCCCTACTTCTTTATGGTGGTATTGATATAGATTCCGAATTGATTGGCATATTGCCGGAGGCCATCAGTAGTATAGGCTATGAGAATCCTCAGCCACTTACCATGCGAGAATTCATTCTTTTACTAATGAATTCCCTAATTACTCGAGAGTTTTACTAATGAATGCCCTAATTACTCGAGAGTTTAAAAATACACTTCCTGAATTCTCATTTAGATTCTTTTCCTGAGAATCTTGGAGATCTAAGTGAGGAGCAAGGAGAAAGATTCCACCAAGACATCCAAGAGATGTAAAGGAGGTATCAAAGTAGATGGAATGTTAATATGTTAGCTGACTACTGCTGGGCTCTTAAACGTGAAGATGATGGACTACAGCATAAGAAAAAGTCAGGAACCAGAAGCGTAGACGAAAAATAAAACGATTCCACAAATCAGAAAATTGATAACATTGAAGCATCTGACACAATGTGGTTGATAGCATTGCTATTGAGTAATTAGGGAGTTGCTAGCATGGTCATTACGTTATTAGGAGTTTATAAGCTTAGTTCATATTAGAGGGTTATTAGGGAGAAAGTTTATAGGGGAGCTGTTAGGGATAGGATTGCCATTGAGTTATTTTAGGGGCGTTTTAGTATTGCCATTGCGCTATTAAGGGGTTCATAAAACCGTTCATATTAGGGGGGATATTAGGGGGTTTCTAGGGGGCGATAGCACTGCCATTGCGTCTTCAGGAGGTTATTAGCATAGTTTATATCAGGGGGTTATTAGGGGGGTGAATTATTAGGGGATGATAGGATTGTCATTGGGTTATAGGGGGTTCATAGCATAGTTCATATAAGGGAGGTTATTAGGGGGTTATTAGGGGGTTGCTAACATTGCCATAGAAATATTAGAGGGTTAATGGTCAGAATAAACTTTAAATTCGGATTCATTCAATGTATTTTTTGGATTTTACCTTGACCTAACCTTGACTATGAGCCGACCAGGTCAAACGCACCCCAGATTCGAATTCAGCGACCTCAAAAACCTATAGAAACAGTACCTGGACCAAGATTAATGGGATAATCTTGATTTGACTTTGATCTGACTTTGACCCCTGAGCTAATCGGGTCAAATGAATCATGGATTCGGATTCTGCGACCCCAAAAACAAAAATGTCATGGTATTACCTTTTGCACATATGACTTTTTATCGTGGGGCTGTGATATTTGTATTGTTGGTACTGTTGTTATAAAATCGCTAAAGTAGTGAACTTCATTCGATGATATCTCCGCAAAAAAAAAAGATTTGTCAAATTTGAAAAGTGCGTTGGAAAGGGCAGAAATGGTACTTTGAGATGGTCAGAATGTTTGTTTTTAGAAAAAAATTTTTTACGGTGTAATAAAGTCTCTAAAACAGCGAAAATATGTGTTTTTTGTACATTTAGGTAAGAATATCTCGAAAACGTACCGTGATAGAGCATTTCTAATGCCAGATTCGTCTTCAGCGCATCAAAAACCTTCGGAATACATGAATAGCGTACTTGCGATAACTAAAACCTTTTTTTTGCAGACCTGTGTAATTGACTATTGAATAAAAGTGCAATAATATATGAGTTGCAATTGTTTGGAAAGACGTCGTTTTTTAATCAATTAAGTCCGCTCTACTAAATTTTATAAATAATAAAAACATAAAAAATATAGTAATAATATAATAGAAATTAAGAAAATTCATGCCTGAATCGCCATCTCTTGAGGAGACTCTCAGATGTAAACGTGATTTGGAGAAGAAACCAAAAGAAAAGTTATCACTCTAGACCAATTAGAAAACGCTGCGGCGGCGCTGGGGCTTATAATAAGAGAGGTCCGACTCCTCTCTATAAAATATCGTATTAGCTTCAAATATTGGGTTGCAGCCAGAATTTCAAATCAAACAAACAAGGGTAAAAGTGGTGCGGCTAAAGAGTATTTTTAAATAACTATTCCACCTAGAGAAATACTACAAGAGAAGCAAACCAATACCCTGCATCCGTGTTTGTGTATTCGGAAAATAAAAATAGTAAGCTCATTCTTCAGTATATAGTGACAGGAAAGAAAAATCTTCCTGTCACTATATACTTCCTCTTTCAATTTTCGTGTAATAGGAGCTCTCCTGTCTACCTTTATGGTAACTAAAAGACTGTTAGAAAACCTAATAGTTGGTATCTTGTAATTTATTTACAAGTTCTACCAACTAATTACCTTTTTCTTGTTAGGATCTGCAAGCTCTGTCAATCAGGGGCTGATTCTCTCCGATTCTCTTGAAACTTTGTACATTAGTAGTTTATCAAAAAATATTAAATACCTGTTTTTTTAACTGCTGATACTATAATTAAGGGGGTGAAAACCACCCCTAAAGTTTACCCCTAAATATCGCCATTAAAACACTTACATTAAACTACGCCATTAAAATCCTTACAGATGTCTTCATTTCCAATCAATATTTTTAAACCAAATACAATTATTTTTATTAAGCCAATAAACAATAACGCACTAGCAAAATTGACTTAAGAGTTTGTCTCCCTTATTTGGGAGGGGGTAGAATCCTATTTTATCAAGTATATTTTCGTAAAAAAGTTCAAAAATTAACTCAAAATAAATAAAAAAAATTATTTTACTATCTTCTAAAATTTTTTTATTACAGGTCATGAGTTTGTCATCATAATTTCAAAATTTAAGTTGGTGAATCCATTATACTCGTCAAAACTTTATTAAAATCTTTTAATTTCGATCAACAGTGGCTTTTTGACGTCGCTAAATATCAATTTATAACCATATATTATATATTGTAACCATATTGCCAAAATTCAAAAAGAAACACGTATTTAATATTTTGCCATGATCTACTGATGAGTAAAGTTTCAAGACAATCGGAGAGGGTTACCTCCCTGCCTCCAATTGTTAGTAACGTCTAGCTATTTTAAATGACACTTTTCTCGTCCTCTAAATTAAAAAACAGAGAAAAGATTAAGTAACGTCTTTTCCGACTTTACATTACAGAAAGCTACACTTATTGATTGTGTTGCACATGAATATGTTCCATATAGAATTATAGTCTTAAGTTATTATAACCATTTCATATTTTATCGAATTATCATCCATTGTAGATTATCTTAGGTAACATAGCCCTAAGTTGATAAATGATGTCTTTGAAAGTATAATTCATTTTGTCTTTTCTTTCTTGTCATCCTACATTCTGTTTATAGTAAGAGTTATTCAGTACAAATGATATAACACAATCAAATAAAGCATCAAATCTCTCTCTCACTTTCTCTTGATCTCGAATGCTTCTACTTACACGTTCCTTGTTAGTCCAGGAGCACTAAGCTCAGAACTAGCAAATTTTGGTGCGGCATGACGTAGATAAAATTTTGCAAGAATCGATCAAGAATAATGTATAGAATAAGAATTGATAGGTGTTTCATCCTGAAAAGGTGTGCTATTTACAGGAAAAATTCGTAAGTGAAAAAAAGTGGAAAAAATCACTTTATCTTCCATTCTTTTCTAAATAATATTATAAATATGCATTTTAGAGTAATAATTGACACTAATGAATTTTCTCCTTATAAAATTCTTGACAAAATAGAGCTATTGTGTAATCCACAGGCTTAAAATTCTTCTCGGAAATTAGTGATAACTGCAAAACAAAATGTCTAAAAACGAGATATTTTTCAAGAGCTCAGCGCACAGGTAACAAATCATTGGAATTTAATATGATTTTTAATTTAAGTTTTTTATAATTATAAGCCGAAATAAAAAAAAACCTGATCAATTTGATCTAACCATTTTTTGATACAAGTTTTGTTGATTAATTTTCTCTCGAAATAAGACAATTGTTCAGTGTTTACGCTGCATCTAAATTACCAGGCTTTTATTGACGTGAATTTTTTTATTGATACTTTGAAGCTTTCGCTACAATATTAAAATGTTGAAAAATGTTGGCTTTGTTAACAATTTTTTTTGTGAAGCGGTTTGACAGTCAGAAAACAATTGAATAGCATCATGAAATAGTTCTAGGAAAGATCTTCGCATTAATATGCAAATTATGAGAATCGGTCACATACGTTTAAAAATGTGAAGCGTTTTCTGCAAAACTATGCATGACGTAGAAATTACTAAAATTGATTCTTGTGGATTATTTCAAACAATTTTCATCGCTATTTTCAAAATGATTGAAACACATGTCCTTTTTGCCGGATGTTGCCTAATATTGCCCAATTGACGATCTGAGCGCCAGAAGCGATCGAAAAAGGGGAGGGAATGAAGATTATGGAAATTGAAATAGCGCGTTAAAAATCAGTGCGAGCTCTTTATCTGTCGATATCATAGCTTCTATTCCCTAGATTTTGATAATTTTTTTGAAAATTAATACAGCGAAATAAGATCATTTTGCTATCAGCGTCTTATTATTCAATTCTAAATACTTACCAAGCTATTATAAGAATTCGCTATTACATATTTTGTGCGCTCTGCACCTATTGATATTTTGGTTTCTAACCTGTATATTTTGATAACTTTTTTTCATATATTGATATAGCAATATATTATAATCGATATAGCAAAGTTTGAATAATAACCTAGTTAAAGTATTCCTTATTCATTTACCTTAATATTCATTTGCACTTAATAGTTAATATGTATAAATAAAATGTATAACACTAGTATAAGTTATTAAATCAATAGTTATAATATGCTATTTTTTAAATAAATTATACCTTTCATAAATTTTCTCTTTAGAAGATTTTTAAAGAAAGTTAATTTTAATCAACAGATTTCAGCAGAAAAGAAATATTATACCGCGTGGAACTGCCTTATATGGAAGAGTTAACATTGGTTTATTTAGAAAAAGATGTGGATGAAGAAGACTTGCAAGAGTTATGTAAGTATTTTTTATTATTACAATAGCGATTTATTCGTACTGATAATAATGTATAAATTTTAATGATAGTAGTATAGCAATGAATATTTCAGGTTACTTTGCGGGGAGTCCCTAATCCTTGGAGGGTCCTCTGGCTTAATCCTCCCTGACTTAACCCTTCCATGTTAATTATTATTAATGTTAATTATTATTATTAATAATTATTTATATTTTTTGAGGAAAGTTCCTAGGGATCCTAGTGCTATCTGTCTCATTTATTCAAATGTATTTAAAATAGTTATGAATATTATTAATAATTTAATTACTATATTGAAAATGAATCGAAAGTAATAATTAAAATTAATGAAGAGACAGATCTTAAAACCGGCATCCTCTGGGTTGGCAGGCTAGCGCTCCACCACTAGGGCCAATGCCATACGTACCTTAGAGAATGCTTATTGTGTATATTAGCTACACAAATTTGGTATAGGTTCCGAGCGTGCTTTTTCCTCTGTCTCCCATGCTCTGGCTTAGCGTGGCTTGAGACCATTCTCTCATGAAGGAGATATTTTAGTTCTCTCTCTCCATGAAGGGGAGCTATACTTGCTCGAATCCTTGTTAGTCCTTATCTACTACCTTAGTCATTTTTGCTTAAATCTGTTAGAGAGAGAAAAAGAGAGAGATATATGAGCTATGCTTACTACCTATCCTCTTATCTTAAGTTAACTATGTCTATCACAAATGCAGATCACAGTCGATTTGTGGGAGATTAAGCTTCTCCACTACTTTCAGAAGCAGCTATAATCTAGGAACGTACATAGCTTATATTATGTACTATGGATAGGATTGCTCTTACGTTTTACATTATTTGTTTTACTGTAAATATATGTAGTCTTATAGGAAATTCCAACGACTTATCTCACTTGAGGTTTCTATCTTATTCAAAGAATGTCTACGTACACTGCCGGTCAGTTACTTTTACCCCCCCTCGAGCAAAATTGCTTGATCTTGGAAGTTTCACATTTTTGGTCAGAGTCAACGTACAGAGACGAGCGGGAGCGCATTTGGAAGCTCTTTTCAACAGCTTTCAAATAGTATGCATCGCAAAATTTATAAAATCGGATTTCTAATTTTTTCAATCGAATATTCATCAATGAAAATTCCGAAATTTTCAGTCTATCTTTGATAACTTGCAATTCTAGGGAAAAAATTCCATGAAAATTTTGATCACAGCATTTTCTTCCTTTTTCCAAACCCTATCCAAATCACTGATCAAAAAATTTTTTCCATCAAATATGACCCTTGTATGAGAAATTTTCTTGAAAATTGACACGTTTCTTCAACTTTTTATAACTTGTGACGGTAAACGTCAATAATTGCCTAACCTAGTGGCTGCCTGCGGGGGCAGCACTTACCGGTAGTCGAAAAATGTAACGACGGAATTCGGCATGCGAGCAGACGGAACGCGCGCGATTGAAAACGAACCAGTGGAGAATCAGCTACCGATACGGAGGCCACAAAAGTTGAGGTTCGCGACCTAATTGCCCGTACGTGTCCCAGAGATCAACGAATAGTTATTACCGAGCTATACGGAGCGCAGACCTGAGCCAGCCGAAGCAGCGTCGTTCCCTACGACATCAAGAGTGTGTGTAAGGTTTCGCCATCGAGGGCGAAAACCGTGTGCGCGCGAATTTGTGATCCGCGACATAGAACAAACAGAATTTCCCGCAGTGAGAGTGCGAATCGTTCCTTTCGTCTTCGTACGTCTGCAAAACAAAGGTAAGCTGGCCAGCTTAATCTCGCGACCGCGATTGCATGCATGATAACTAATTTTCCGTACTCGAAGCGAAGCGTGCATGTAATAGCTCTACTAACAAAGAGCGGCGTGCGATCCGACTCTGTATGTCGTCGTCGTGCAAGTGCCACTATAAACATAAACTTGCGGGCCAATTCTAGTGTAGCATTTGAGAGATAATAAAAGAGTTTTCGTTCGTGATATTAACCAGTACTTTTGACGTGTTTATTCCGTATTGATTTCACTCCTGAAGATAGTTGGTTGACTGACACCTGTTTCCTCTTGCTCTCCGACTTCTGTATTAAACATAGGTAATTACGTGCGTTTTTTAATACGATTACGCGGATAAAATTAATTAAACGGTAACCACCCTGTTACAAACTTTGTAAATAAAAATCCTAGAAAAAAGTGTAAGAAAATGTTTCTTTTTTCACGTAGAATACTATAAAATTTTTTCAGATTAAAAAAAAATATTTTTTTTATCCATCTTTCGATGGTCGTTCAAAAAAAAAAATAAAATATTCATTTGCCATGTGAAATTGTATTCTTGTAAAATAAAATTGTAGATTTCAAAAACTTGTTATTTCCATTTTTTTTCCTCACAAGAACACTGTTTTTCAATAACAATAATGATATGTCATGATTCAAATGAAAATACATGCTTAATCTGGAAAGTTATTTATTTGAAATAATAACATTATATAAGTTTCATCGAGCCTAAAACTTGAAGATTATCTGCTATTTCACTCTGGATTTGATTTTAGTAGAATGTCATAACATAAAAATAGACAACAAAAAATAGATAACAAAAAATAGAAAAATGTAACCAAATGCGATAGGACGATGAACCAAATTTTTTGCTAAATAAAATATATAATAAATAATAATAATAAATATATCATTCATATCATATACGAGGTGTGATCAAAAAGTAAGGTGAATTTTTATTTTTCTCAAAAAATATTTATTTATTCATCAATTTTTATTTTATCTCCTTCAAACAGTACACACAGAGCCGGCAATAGCATCAGAAATACTACAAATATACATAGACAACTATCTTCAAAAATGGCTTCACTCTTGGAGAATAACAGTGAATGAAAGCAAATCAACAAATACTACGTTTACACTTCGGAAAGATACCAGTCCACCTATAAAATTAAACGATAAATAGATCCCTCAAAGCAATCAAGTAAAGTACCTAGGCATACACATAGACAGAAGACTTACATGGAACGAACATATATTTAGTAAACGCAAACAACTAGGACTGAAATGGAGGAAAATGTACTGGCTCATGGGAGGAAAATCGGAGCTGACGATCGAAAATAAACTGTTGCTATACAAAACGGTACTCAAACCTATCTGGACTTATGGTATTCAGCTATGGGGCGCTGCTTCAATCTCGAATATTGAAATAATGGATAGATTTCAATCGAAAGTGTTACGTAACATAGTCCGAGCCCCATGGTTCGTCACAAACGAAATAATTAGATATGATCTACAAGTTTCATCAGTCAAAGAAGAAATTAAATCATTCTACGGAAAATATAATGCAAGACTCCATAAGCATCCTAACGAACTCGTCAACAATCTTCTTAAGACTTCCATCACAAACACCAGACTAAAGAAACATAAAATATTAAGCACGTAATCCGATGGATATATAATTGAATACATAGTCTCTTAATCATAATGTAAAACAAAGTCAGAAACTCAAAGGAGTATCCTGACTAGAATAATGTAAACTTCGCTAAATGTAATTAAATTTACTTATTGTCTCAAACGGCGAGACAGATTGTAAATAAAGGTGAAAATAAAAAAAAAAAAAAAAAAAAAAAAAAAATCACCTTCAAAGTAATCCCCCTCGGATATAATGCACTTGTGCCAACGCTTTTTCCAATCCTCAAAGCATTTCAAAAAATCATTTTTTGTGATCTTGTTTAGTTCATCCTTCGATGCCGTCTTTATCTCCTCAATCGTGGCAAAACGCCGTCCTTTCATGGGCCTCTTCAGTTTTGGGAACAAGAAGAAGTCACAGGGGGCCAGATCTGGGGAATACGGTGCCTGTGGCATCGTTACTGTGTTGGTTTTAGCCAAAAATTCGCGCACAAGCAACGATGTGTGAGCAGGGGCGTTATCATGGTGCAAAAGCCAATTTTTATTTTTCCACAAATTCGGACGTTTCTGGCGGATTGCTTCGCGCAAATTGCGCATAACTTGCAGGTAATATTCCTTATTTACTGTTCTACCCTGTGGCAAGAACTCATGATGCACCACGCCCCTGCAGTCAAAGAAAACTGTAAGCAAAACCTTTACATTTGATCGAACTTGGCGTGCTTTTTTTGGTCTTGGTGATCCAGAATGCCTCCACTGGGACGATTGAGTCTTAGTCTCGACGTCATAACCGTATACCCATGTTTCGTCACCTGTTATAACCCTGTTGAGTAAATCTTGATCATCGTTGATGTCATTCAGTAGCTCTTGGGCGATGCTCATGCGACGTTTCTTTTGGTCGAAATTGAGCAATTTCGGAACAAACTTCGCTGACACACGTCTCATGTCTAAAACACTCGTCAAAATTGATTGGCACGAACCAAATGAGATGCCAATATCATCAGCAATTTCTGTAATTGTAATTCGACGATTTCCCAACACTATTTTCTTCACTTCTTCAACATTCTCATCAGTTATTGATGTGCTGGGGCGTCCAGAACGAGATTCGTCGTCGGTGTCTTCTCGGCCTTCTTGGAAGAGTTTATACCACTTGTAAACATTTTTTTGGCTTAAAGTAGACTCACCGTATGCCACTTTCAGCATTTCAAGTGTTTTGGAACATTTGATTCCATTTTTCACACAAAAGGGTCTAGCCAGGTAAGATAGTGAAATCTGCCTTTGAACGGTGAGGGAAACGGAATATACCCTTTCATTCCTCATGTATAGAAACCCCTTTTCCCAAATTTTCAGACCCCTGGACCCCAGGGGGGCCGGCTGAGACGTGACTATACGCTTTTCAGTTTTTTAACGATGTCTCGGTCAATTTTGAAGCTAGAAAAAAAACAAAAAAACCAAATTGTAGGATTTTTTGAGCCCCACAAACCTATGTGACTCAAAAAATTTTTAGCGGGAAATTCAAATTTTCACAGCCTTTTAAAAACTTTAAAAATTCGTATTAAAAAAACAAAGACCGACTCACCGTTGAAAAAAAATATATCTTACGTATTTT